ATAAACAAAAATTAATATATAAATAATTTATATTGATATATATACATATATATTTATGTTTTAGACTCCACCATTGCCAGATAATTATAGCTATCCACTGAGGAATTTTATCTTTAGAGTTTTGACACGAGAAGAAATCGGAAGGCCTTCTGCCAGTGAAGTTTTTATATTTTGTAAGGTAAGGTGTCCCTAAGATAACATATATACACTAGCATTACACACTGGCTACGCCCTTTGTTTTCCCCAGTCTATATATTACTTTTTTTGTTTATATATAGAACCACCTTCACCTTATTTTGGCACTTCTAATAAAACAGCACGCTTTTAAATGATTTCCCAACAAACTTTCTTAGCCATTGAATTGTAGTATCTATTACGTTGATGGTAATGACCCACACTCTTTTCCTCTTTCCTTTTCTCGTTATCTTCTTCTCTCTATCTTTCATTCTTTAGAAAAAAAAAAACACACACACATACACACACGCGCGCGCGCGCACACACACACACAGATACTTTCGGTTTTATGAGTTCTTGTATTTCCGACCTCGTTCCCCCCCTCCCCCAACACACCCCAAAAAAAAAAAAAAATCGCTACATATAATATCTTATAATTTCTTCGTCCTTTCAGTTTAACATCAAAATATGAACTCTATTCTATGTTCTTTTCGGCGGGAATATCCACCTTTTATTTTCCAGCTTGCGCAACATAACGCCATCAAACAGCCCAAACCGCCACAAACCGGATGTGACCCCAAATATCCTTTACCAAAAAAACACTCTCAAAAATTCACCGTTACCTGGTCTCTATACTCATGACGACATTTACAAGGATTTTAAATCTCGACCACGCTTCCCATTAGAATATTTAGTCAGAGTAATTAAACATAGTAGGAAAAAATATAGCACACTCGTCTCAAAATAATTATTTCCCATTATCTAGATCTATCACGATCTAGATAATCCATCTAATTAAATGTACATACTAAAATCATAAGATGATTAAAATCAACTGGCTTGAATTATTTAGAACTATGATTAGGATTATATATATATATATGTCATCTAAATCGAAAGTAGAAGGAAACGGCTTTATATCATAGATTTGCACGAATATATTGGTTCTGTGAAACTCCTCAATGTAAAAGGCTGACAAAGCAAAATTAAATAATTTGAAAAGTTATAACGGTCACACTAGAGTTATCTCCATATAACCAATGGGCTAGAAGTTTTTTTCCCAAATATATACATCAACTGTGGAATTTCTAGAAAATCGTTATGTCCACCCAGGTTCCACCCACACAGAAGGTTCCAAGAAGTTTCTTCGAAGTTACGAGTTGAAAGAGGTATAATAAAGATATTTTGTACATTCAATTTTGACTTCTGTTTTTTTTTTTTTTACGAATAATTTAATGTATTCCTTTTTTTTTTTTAGTTATTACTTCCTGGTGAATATCAAAGAATTAAGCGCAGAAGGTTGGAACCTATCCATCTAGATAAAGAAGAGATTAGAAAAGCTCTGCTGATCTACGATGGTACAAAACGTGAAAAATCCAAAAGTTTCAGTGAATCCTCTGAAAAATCCAAAAGTTTCAGTAAATCTTTTTCCCAATCAGTGTCATTAAAATCAGACAAAAAATAAAATTCAATATTTCAATAATCAACATTCTCAATATACGCAATCTCATTGGTTCAGTAGTCCAGTAAATGAATACGAAAAGGAAACTACATTTGTAAACATGAACCAGTATTTTACTTTAGCGAAAAAAAACAGCAACAACCAAGTAACATAATTTTATTTTGTAAATATTACTTCCTCATATATAAAGCTAATATCAAGATATAATGTTTTATTCTATTTCTTGCTTGTAATGCTTTAATGTTTTAACTAGTCTTTCAAGAAAGTGAACTTTGCACAATCGATGTTTTTGTAGTAGTCCTGCTAACATAAAGTGGTAGACATAATGATCATAAACATCTATTAATTCAACTTTTGAAAAAAAAAAAAAAACATTAAAATCTAGTGCAGGACATCCTGCCAAATAGTTTACGAAATAAAAGATGTAATTCGGAATTTAATTCTAAGATGATATTTTAATTATTTATAAAGGTCTAATTCTGTGCGGTCAATTAAATTATAGAAAATCGTTAGAGCTGTTTTCGAAAGACTTTTTTTCATCTAGATTTCATCAATCAAGAATTTGCTAGCTAATAAACTGAATTTTACAGCAAGAACAATATGTTAAAGAAAATGCGGTTTTACTTTCTATTTCTATTAAAAATTTAAATATAGTTTAAAAATAGAACAACACTATTTTGTAATTATAGTTTTTTAGAAAGCATATTTTTTTAAATATATGACTCATAGATCTATATATATTATATCTAGACTGGACATTAAGATCTTTTAACACTACAAAAAAGTCGTGAAAAATTTTTGTAAAAAGCTGAAACAAAGCGTTGTTTTGTAAAGGAATTATAAGAAGTCAAGTGTTGTTTTTGTTTATCCTAAACTATGTAAAATACAATGTTCATATCTAGATCTAGTAACTAAACATCGAGATTAACCCGTTTTATCCCACCGTCCTTTTAAAAGTACGCTGCTAAACAATTTTTTGGTTTGAACCGGGAACCAGCTTCTTTGTTTTTTAAACTACTTCCGGTTATAACATAAACAAATCTAAATATTAAAAAACAAATTACGTTTTAATTATTTTTTGATTTTGTCCAGGACGTTTTGCAAAATCATTGATTTCAAATTTTTTAAAATGTCTTCATATCGTCGGAAAAAGTGGGTTTTTATTATTTTCAGTTAAAATTTACGATAAAATTAAATATCCTGATATAAACTACACATACTGCCTAAAATTAAAATAAAATTAGTAAGATGTTTGTATGCACTGGCTTTTCCAGGGAAGCTTTGCAATCTTTCCGTCCTTTTAAAAGGACGATGGGAATGAATGGGTACAGGTTTTTTTACATGTAAGAAAAAAATTTTTTCTTACACAATTTTTCTATAATATATAAAATAACATTCCATTCATTCAACATCGACAAAAGTACAATGCAATGTTTCATTGGGGTACTTCTCCTCAGTGGATACACCGTTGTACCCCGGAGGAGGATGTACTGGTCATTGGATCAAGATGTTCGAAATGAAGCTGTTGCAAAAGCAATGTCGAGAAACCGCTTTGATGAAATTCTTAGATACTTTCATCCAGCTGACAATGAAAATCTTCCTGAAGGAGATCGGTTTGGAAAAGTGCGAACTATGTTGACAATGTTGAATGAACGATGGATGCTCTACCGTCCACAAAATAAAGAACTATCCATAGATGAATCAATGATTCCTTACTTCGGAAGGCATGGTGCCAAACAGCATATACATGGGAAGCCTATTCGTTTCGGCTTCAAAATGTGGGCACTGACCACATCAACTGCTTATCTTATTCAGGCCGTGCCATATCAAGGTGCTTCAACAGGAAAGACTATACCAGAACTTGGAATGGGTGGTTCCGTTGTCATGGATCTCATCAGTGAGTTACCTCGATCCACAAAGTACAACCTGTATTTTGATAGCCTTTTCACTTCACTGTCTCTGATGGATCGTCTTACAAAAGAAGGTTTTGGTGCAACAGGCACACTCAGAAGCAGCCGCACAGAAAAAGCACCAATTATTGATCAAAAAGTAATGTCAAAAAAAGTTCGTGGTTCATTTGATTACATGCAGGATAAATTGTCAGGTTGTCTGATGGTTCGATGGCACGATAACAGCGTGGTAACGGTTTTATCTAACTGCCACAGTATCAAGCCTATTGGTAATGCAAAACGATGGTCAAATAAAGAAAAAAAATCTATCCTTGTTGATCAACCAAATGTAATATTTCAATATAATCGCTACATGGGAGGTGTAGATCGACTAGACCAGAATATTGCTACTTACCGGATCTCAATCAGGTCAAAGAAGTGGTGGTGGCCGGTGGTCTCTTTCTTACTAAGTGCATCAGTAAACAATGCTTGGATGCTTTACAGACTTTCTCCAAGTTACGCATCACAAAAACTAGATCTTTTGGAATTTACTCGACGAATCGCGAATTGTTACCTTCAACGTGACCGTTCACATCACACACTCCCTTCTCTAGCTACTGGTCAAATTCTACCTGAAGTAAGATTTGATGGTGTACAACACATCATCGAATCCATACCAAAACAACGACGCTGTGGCGAATGTGGAAAAAAAGTTAAGAGGCAATGCATGAAATGTCATGTTGCACTACATGTGGACTGTTTCGCACGATATCATTCTAAGTGAACTGGACAGCTCTATATTTATATATAAAACTGAATACGTACATTGTATAACTTTGTTTAACTGTGTATTTTGAATATTTTGACAAAGTAATAACTTTTAAAACATATAACGTCCGTTAATACATTTATGTTATTGATATGTATTTTTGGTACTGTATGTGCCCACCGTCCTTTTAAAAGGACTTATATGTATCTCCTAAACTTTTAAAAAAAAAATTTTTTTTTTGATATCTATGTTCATTTGACATAAATAATATAACACAAAACAATTTTCATCATTGTTCCTTGACTTTTAGTGGGGATGGGCATTAACGGGTTAAGAGCACTTTCGTCTCATAATTATTATTTTGCAATTTTAGATACATAAAAACATAATCAATCTATTTAAATGTACATAAGATGACTAAAATCAATAGACGTGATTTATTTCGATCTAGGACTATTATGTATCATCTTAATGGAAACTAACAGGAAATGGCTTTTTTTCATGAATTCACGTGTAAATATAGTTCTGTGATTAATACATAATTATCTCAATATATAGGTTTCTGACTCGATCAATCGCGGATTAAAATTTACATCCGTTTTCCAGTCTAGATAAAATATATACAGATCGGTGATGATAATATGTTTTTTTTACTATTTGAAAATTACTTGACGTATTCAAACAGCCATCTGGGTCATTATTTTAAAAAAAATCTTAAACTTCAAAACGTTTCAACATTTTATAGTCTAAAACGGCTTTAACGATTTTCCTAAGAATTTGACAAGCTATTAGTCTGTATTCATGATTTTGCGAAATTCATTGGAAAGATTTTTTTTAATTCATGAAGTATTACGAGTATTGAATATAATGAGAACGTATAGTCCACAACGAGCTACATTAAAGTACAAAATTATTTTTTAAGCATTTTATATTACTTGTTGGGGTTGTAAAGGCAAATAATCATGAATAAAATAACTTATTTTTTTTTTACATAATTAGCTTGCATGTATGATGTATGTCATGCGGATATTGAGCTGATTCTTTGTTCAATGCTTCTGTTTTAAAAACCATACTATTTTTATTCCAAATATGAGAATATCATTGCTTCTTGTGTTTTGGTTTGGATGGCTTGTTATTGCTGGAGCTTCTTTTTTTTTTTTTTGTGTGGTTTATCTAGTATTGGGTAAGTTAAGTTTTATGGTACAATCTTCATTCTCTGTTTTTTTTTGTAGCTCCAAATTAATTGTCATTATAATCTAGTGGAGTGGCGATCACAAGAAAACAGGCTTGGAACTCCGTGGTAGTCAAGCTTAATTTGAGTCTATCTTTGTATGGATCAAATTTGGTCGATGTGCATGGGTTGTAGTTGGTTGTGGGCAGCGTGAGCTGACATTGTGATTAAGGTGCGCCTTCATGCTACCTATGTTACATCACATTACCTCACCTATCCCTTAGTCTGTTGGACCACACAAGATTTATCAATCGTTTTTCTCCATTCCTCTATATCTTTTGTCCTGCATAGAACGTCTTTCATTGGTCGGCCCGTCCAATCTTCTTATATTGTCTTTCCATCGCTTTCTCTGTCTGCTTCTTCCTTTTCCTGGTACTGTTTTCTGAAGGAAGGTCTTTGCAAGCCTTTTGTAATATGGCCATAGAGTTTAAAATTCCGTTTTATTTTTTTACGATAGTTAGCAGGTCATCTTTGGGTCCAATCGCTGTAGTAAGTCTGTCACTTATCTCATCGTTTGTGATGCGGTTTTTGAAAGTGATACCAAGGATCCTTCAGTAGCCTCTCAATTCCATTGCGAAAAATCCTCCTCTCTAGCTCTGCAGTCAGAGTTCAAGACTCGCGAGAATATAAGAATATGGCCATGACCAGGGAGCGCACCAGTCTGATTTTAGCGTATAGGGCTATGCTTTGTCTTTCCAGATTGTTTTGTGCAATTCGGGCTAATAGCTCATGTTTGGTTCCATGATCTTAGAAAATATCTCCAAGGTATTTAAAGCTACTGACACTTGTCAGCCTTCGACACCATTGACGATGCCCCTTTTAAAACCCTGTTGGCTATGGGTCATTATTTGAGTTCTTTCGACATTTTTTTTTGCATACCTTTATATGCTGCGAAAGTCTTATCTGTATGCATCAATATGTCGGGTCCGTCTTCTCCTGTCCCTGCTAGGCCATCAATGTCATCTGCGAAGCGCGAGTTAGTACTTCTTCCTCCAATGCTTACAGATCCTTCTTAGCCCTCGGGAGCATATTCCATTAATTTTTCAAGGAAGATATTATTATATATTTGTACATAAGTCAGGCTAATAAAAAATAGTATTTGATATGTTATATTAACTACTCTAGATCTAATAGCTATGAATAACTATCATTCATGCCATTAAGTAACATTATATGATATCATTAAATCTTTGTTACGTAATCACTTGTGGTTAACTATTATATGTTAGCCTATTCGCTTTACTTGCTCACTTGTTTACTTAAGTAATGTACTAAGTGATTTACTATCAGGGGTGTACTGGAAAAGGGGACAAGGCAAAATACAACCCCGACAATATATGCAATATTTTTCTCTTTGTTGTGTTTAGATTAACTAATTACCTAAAAAAATATTTCAGAAGAGGAATTCTGAAAAACCGTTTGGCATTATTTTGTTGTTCCCTTAAAAAAGAAACGGAATAATATAATCCTAGTATTCCCCAAGCTATTTATCACCCATTGTGGGGTTCAAAGTTATCATTCACTCGAGCGAGGAATCGTGATACATATATTATTGAAATCGTTCTGGATGACGTCAAAAAGGACGCCATAAATACAATCTTCCAATTACTTCAAACTTAGTTACGAGCAAGGCAAAAATAAATGATTGTTTTCTTTGTTTTTTAAATTACTTGTTTTTTATTTATATCATGAAAAGAGAATATACAAATCTGCTCATAAGACCAAAGTGAATTATTTTCCCCAAATCTTCACTAATTGCTAACTTATTATTATAAAGTTGAAACATGCAAACCAATTTAAGGTATATTTAATATATATTTCGCATGTAATGTCAATGAGAAATGGAGACATGGACGTATATTTTGTGCGCTGTAATGCACATATGTAAAACAAATTTCCTCACGGATAATAAAGAGAATTATTTTTTTTAATTATTATTATTTCTAATATCGTAAGGTTTTTTTTTTGTATATGTTTGTGTATTACATTTATACTTGTCATTATAATAATGAAATATTTATTTGTATAAAAAATTGTTTACAAGGCTTACTTTTCTTTAAATATTCAAAATTTGTCATGACTTAAAATATTTATGATGATTACATAATGATATGTATATATTTAAGTATCATTAAATATTCAATTATATTTCATTGTTTAAAATATTTATTGTGTTGTGCTCTGTAGTGTGAATGAATTATTGCAAATAATAGTGTTTTAATATTTAAAATTAATCTAGTCCATGCATACACACTCGTAACTAACTATTTAACACATGATTTAAAATAAAATTATTTTTTTTCTATGATATATACATAATGATAATGATATAAATGAAGAATATATAAATTTAAATGATAAGTGCAAATTGAACATAATAATTATTCAAAAGAAAATGTAGATTTCAAATATGCAACTAAATAAATCAATACTATTATATCGATAGATAAAATTGTAAGCACCTGTGAACTGATTTTATAGCAACATCATTGGTGACCACAGCGTAGAAGATTTCGATAATGGCACGTCTCCGTAATGTCTAGTTAGACATTAAAAGTCTTATGCTGAGAATGCTTCACAACTGGAAAAGACACGTCAATACTGACACTGGTACTCAAGGATTGACACAGTAAATTCTAAACCGACAATTCAACACTAATACTCGCTATGGTACACCATCACTGTCATCTACATCATAAAAAAACCCACAAGACTCTAACGTCTAATCTAAAAATATAATTACTAAAGCAAATATCATAGCGATATGAAATAAACTCAGCCTAAACAGAGTCAAAGAGTCGTACCATGAATACATCCAAGACAATATTGCTAAGGCTGTCCAAAAGCATTAAATCAAGAATTATTCAGGACCTGAAAACAAGGCTAATCACTAAAGCGAATGGCAACCAAAATGGACGTCACAAGAATAATGACAAAAAGACAAGGACAAAATATAGAGTACTCCAATAATTCCAATTGTAAAACAACGTCATAGCAAGTTATGGCGTAGCACCTAGAAGAACGTGGCGCACTTTAAACCTCTACATAGAAAAAAAAGAGGCGCTGTTATTTTGTTTTTATATCCATTTCGCGAGGGGGCCCACGACGTGGCTTAAGCCTGTGGCGTAGCAACCATGGCGCGAAGGAGTTCGTTACGCTTGGCCCCATAAATCATGACCAGTTGAGGCCCATGTGAGTCTTTGGTGTGACACCAAAGTGGAAACAGAACTTCACTTTTATAAAAGCCAATTTTTAAAAAAAGGTCGTAATCGTTAAACCATACTTTACATTAAATATATATTAGTTTGATTTCGAAAACGGCTCAACCTTATTCGGACGGCATACCATTTCAATTTCCAGCACTCGATTGGCAGGCCACATCAACAAAAATGTACAAATAAAAATGGAAATAGACAATGAACCATTTTATAAGAAACCCGTGAATCTATTACTTACATTAATTAATGAGTTTCATTAGCTGTTTTATGTTTTTTATACATACATGGTTTTTCTTTTTAAAACAAATCTGTTGGCTTATCGGTACCAATCCATTTACCCTAACGTAGGGAAAGATTTTTTTTTCAAATTTTTTTTTTTGGTTGCAAAGGTAAATTTTCTACACTCTGTGCCGAGGTTTCTGCGGGCCGGATTGGATCACAATGCAGGCCGTATTTTGGGCATCTCTGGTCTAGAAGCTTAATTCGTTTGGCAGTGCTTTACTGCTAGGCGGTGTTGTCGTTTCCAGGGTCACTGGTTTAAGCCTTGGTCGGCGGAGTCTCATATTTTCGTCACATTTAATTCACTACATTCTCTCCTTTACAAATTTGGTAGATGGTGCTGCTTGTGATTAAAATGTATGTACTGATCGCTCAACCGTCGTTCTGCATTCTTGATCTCACGTTACCCCCGCTAGCCGCTAGGCTGACCCATTCAACCACTGAATAGGTACAGAAAAGGGACTTAATGTAAGGGTTATACTTGTGATACTCATACTCTGTGACATATAAATTTCGCTAAAATCCTTTCACAACACATATAATAGTGAATTCTGAAGCAGACAAAAGCGATATCATTTTGCCTGCAATGACTCTCCAGTAAACTTTCAAAAGTAAATTTAAGAATACAATTGCCAAACATTGAATTAAAAATTTTTGGAGATATATCTAGAACATAATGATTACAAAACTAGAAAAGTGACAGTATTAATAGCAAAATACATCTCAATAATTATCATACAAAAAAGTGCATAGTGTACAACGCTGCCATCTGTTTTGGACATAATCATATCACATCAATATAAAACATTTCAATAAAGGATTAATAAGTCAGTCTTACGTATAATCTTAAGATTCGACAGGAGATGAGTTTCCATATCGCAAAAAACAGAGTTCTACCTCAATAGAGAACAAGATCGGCCACATAAGTTAACTAAAGCCTATTTTATCTTATCTTATCCGATATAATACAGACGTTACTTCAAAAAAGAAGATGATTACGTCCTACGCGTCATGCATTTAGTCATGCATATTAACCAATCACTTAAATTCTGCCAAGTCACTGGTTTTCCTGGCTAGCTTAGGCAAACCCTGCCATGCTCTAATAACACTAGGGAAGAAGGAGTGTTTGTACAAATTTGTCCTAGCATATGGAACGAGAATGTGCATTTATCTTTGTGTCTTTCAGAGTATTTTATTAAACCATGTTTTTGTATTTGAAGATTATGGTTCAGTGTTTTATGTATAATTGCTACTTTACTTTTGAGTCTTCTGTCCTGAAGGCTTTCTAAATTTAGTGATTTTATTAAAGGTGTTACTCTAGTCAAATGTGCGTAGGACGTAATCATCTTCTTTTTTGAAGTAAC